TGGCGTGTGTGTGTGTGTGTGTGTGTGTGTGTGTGTGTGTGTGTGTGTGTGTGTGTGTGTGTGTGTGTGTGTGTGTGTGTGTGTGTGCTGTGTGTGTGTGTGTGTGTGCTGTGTGTGTGTGTGTGAGTGTGTGTGTGTGTGTGTGTGTGTGTGTGTGTGTGTGTGTGCTGTGTGTGTGTGTGTGAGTGCTGTCCCATCATACAGCATTGAGTAGAAGAGCCGTGACTTCTCTTATAGTACCGAGGAAGAGCTCCAGTCAAACGGATCCTTGACTTCAAGACGCCACGAGTACCTCTCAACACAACACAAAACCAATGAAGTCACCTTACATCACACAGGATGATCACCATGTTACATCCGAAGCATTAAGGAACTTTAGTGGTTTAAGAAGACACAGGACGTCCTGTATTAAAAAAAGTACTTTTTCGCTGCAAAAATCCTTGTCACTAACGATATGTGAACATACACTTCCCAGGACTGTACTCTGTGACACACATTTCACAGGACTGTACTCTGTGACACACATTTCACAGGACTGTACTCTGTGACACACATTTCACAGGACTGTACTCTGTGACACACATTTCACAGGACTGTACTCTGTGACACACATTTCACAGGACTGTACTCTGTGACACACATTTCACAGGACTGTAGTCTGTGACACACATTTCACAGGACTGTACTCTGTGACACACATTTCACAGGACTGTACTCTGTGACACACATTTCACAGGACTGTACTCTGTGACACACATTTCACAGGACTGTACTCTGTGACACACATTTCACAGGACTGTACTCTGTGACACACATTTCACAGGACTGTACTCTGTGACACACATTTCACAGGACTGTACTCTGTGACACACATTTCACAGGACTGTACTCTGTGAGTGTGTCTGAGAAGCGGGCAAGACAGGGCAGACACATTTAGTGAATTTTGAAGGAATTCGGAACATTTTAGACGCTTGACCTTAAGAGAAAGTGACAAAGTGAGAAACAATTGAGGTCTACGATGCACCACAGACAACCCAACAATGTCTTAGACTGTTGACCAGACCACACACTAGGAGGTGAAGGGACGACGACGTTTCGGTCCGTCCTGGACCATTCTCAAGTCAATTGTCACTCTGTGGGTGTCTTAGACTGGCCAGCGATCCCCAAGGCAAGATTTAGAGAGTTACTGTAAATTTTAGATCAATTTTAGACTTTTTGATCAATTTTAGACTTTTTGATCAATTTTAGACTTTTTGTTCGTTTTAAAACTTGATTTAACTCCGGAAATGTGAACTCCGAAGGGCTCCCAATTATATTTTATAGCTCAAGGTGGACCTTGGGGTCTAGATCTCCTCAGATCACCCTCTACAGGACTTAAGGTGAGGCTCAGACTTTCCCAGTTTACAGCTATAAAGCTCGCGATGGACGTCAGACTTTCCAAGCTGGCGCACTCTACGGCTTAAGCTGGACCTCTCACACTCCCTCAGCTGGTCGAACAAGAGACAAAGGTTCTTGTGGATGACTCTTGCTCCAAGACTGCATCACCTGCAGAAAGGAAATGGAGAAGAACTATGTTAGAAGACGTACATATATATATATATATATATATATATATATATATATATATATATATATATATATATATATATATATATATATATACCACCAGTGTTAGAGCACACACATATATAACACTATGTTAGAAGACACACATACATAACACACATATATATGTGTGTATACAACATATATATGTATACAACAGCCTCAGCCCACTGCAACAAAGACAGCAAGAACAATCCAAATGCAACTCAACTGATAATATTTGCAATGTTAACAACAAAATTATCCATTATTGCCCAAAATATTTAGCAATAAATAATAATAATAATAATACAATTATTATTTAATTGAAAAATAGTACAAATAATACAGAAAAACAATTACAATAACAATTAATATATTTTTAGGAAAATATTTTTTGGAAAATTTATTTTTTTGGGAAATGATAAATGACCGAATTTATGTTAAAGTGAATTTAGAACCAAAATTAAGAACTAAATTCTAAATTTAGAATTTAGAATTAAAAGAATTTAAAGTGAATTTAGAATTTTTCGATGTAACTTCCTTCCTTTCTCAAGGTGCTGTTTATAGTCTTCTAAGGAAAGATGTAGGTTACAATAGTTTACTTTTAGAAAGGTGGTATATACAATTTACTTGTGTAATAAAATGGCCAATTATTCTAGAAAGTGACTTTCTTATTCTAAATCCGATTAAAAAAAGATGGAAGATTGTCTTTAAACAGCTGGAATATTTCTGATAAAAATGGCTTCTATAAATCTGATATTTTACTTTCAGAAAGCAGATTTATTACTTTTAAATTGTATTTTTATATACTACAGTAAACTGTTGGTTTACTTCTTTTAAGTTTGTTGTATTAGATTTAGAAATCTGGTCTACTTATTTTAGAAATTTGGCCTATATTTTTGATAACTGAAACAGGTCAGAATTTCAGTTAAGAAAATAAAAAACAAATTGAGTGGTGTTGGACTATTATATTTAATAAAGTTAATTATATTTAATATATTTGATAACTTAGTTATTTAATTTGATATTTATTAAATATTATTATCATTTTTCAATAATTTGAAATTCAATCAATAATTCAATAATCTCATTATCAATAAATATTATCATTAAAATATAATTAATTATTAAAAACTCGATGATATTCTAAATGTGTTTTTACTCGTTTTTAACGGTGGTTAATTGGTTTAGAAAGTCGGTATGATGATTTAGAAAGTTGCTCTGTTACTTCCAGAATGTAATTGACTTTCTTTTAGAAAGCTGGTCAATTACTTTTTGAGAAAACTGTGTATTTAGAAAACTGTATTTAGAAAACTGTGTATTTAGAAAATTGTGTATTTAGAAAACTGTGTATTTAGAAAACTGTATATTTAGAAAACTGTGTATTTAGAAAACTGTGTATTTAAAAAACTGTATATTTAAAAAACTGTATATTTAAAAAAGTATATATTTAGAAAATTGTGTATTTAGAAAACTGTGTATTTAGAAAACTGTGTATTTAAGAAACTGTATATTTAAAATACTGTGTATTTAGAAAAATCTGTATTTAGAAAACTGTATATTTAGAAGACTGTATATTTAGAAAACTGTATATTTAAGAAACTGTATATTTAAAATAATGTGTATTTAGAAAAATCTGTATTTAGAAAACTGTATATTTAGAAAACTGTATATTTAAGAAACTGTATATTTAAGAAACTGTATATTTAAAATACTGTGTATTTAGAAAAATCTGTATTTAGAAAACTGTATATTTAGAAAACTGTATATTTAGAAAACTGTATATTTAAGAAACTGTATATTTAAGAAACTGTATATATTTAGAAACCTGTCACGTTAATTTCAGAATTCAGATTTATATTCTTATTAAAACTAAAGTAAACAACTGTTACTATTAGCCTTTCTGTTGAATGCTAGTTTGTTGCTTTTAAAATTGTTGTCACTATTAGAAACCTGTTCTATAATTATCCTAAAACTTGGCGTTACAATATGCAAGGTTAATATTTTTAGTAAGCTTGACTATTAGTTGTAAAAAACTGATCCGTTTTAGAAAGTTGGTCAGTTGCTTTTAGAAAGATGGTTTTAATTTTTGTATAAAACAAGTCCACTTTTAGGAAAACTGTCATTCCTTTTTTTTTGGGGGGGGGGAAACTCGTCAAACTGTTGTTATTTTGTTTCATAAAACTTGTTTGGTTGTTTCAGGAAGCCGATGTATTCTTTGTAGAACTTTAAAAAGGAGTTTTTACAAAATTTTTAAATTTGAATTATTACTTTTTAAAATATGGAATCTTGGTTTTAATTGTGTTATTTACTTTTAGAAACTTTATTGATTAATTTTAGAAAGTTCATTTTGACCTTGTACTATATATATATATATATATATATATATATATATATATATATATATATATATATATATATATATATATAAATATATATATATATATATATATGTCGTACCTAGTAGCCAGAACGCACTTCTCAGCCTACTATGCAAGGCCCGATTTGCCTAATAAGCCAAGTTTTCATGAATTAATTGTTTTTCGACTACCTAACCTACCTAACCTAACCTAACCTAACTTTTTCGGCTACCTAACCTAACCTAACCTACAAAGATAGGTTAGGTTAGGTTAGGTAGGTTTGGTAAGGTTCGATCATATATCTACGTTAATTTTAACTCCAATAAAACAAATTGACCTCATACATAATGAAATGGGTAGCTTTATCATTCCATAAGAAAAAAATAGAGAAAATATATTCATTCAGGAAAACTTGGCTTATTAGGCAAATCGGGCCTTGCATAGTAGGCCGAGAAGTGCGTTCTGGCTACTAGGTACGACAATATATATATATATATATATATATATATATATATATATATATATATATATATATATATATATATATATTAAATCTATTATTTGTAAAAGGTGGTCTATTTTACAAATAGAGAATATTGTTTTCAGAAAGCTGGCTTGTTACTTTTTTAAAATGCTGGTCTATTAATTTTAAAAAGCTGATGTATTAATTTTAGAAAACTGGCGTTTTAGACAGAAACTCAGAGCAAAGGAATAATTGATTGATAAGGATTAAGCCACCCAAGAGACGGCACGGGCATGAATAACCCGAAATAGCATAGGAATTTGTTGTTGTTTCAGATTTAGCTACTGGGAACGACGTGTCCATGTAGCACGGGCTATGGTGAGCCCGTAACGGGTAGCAGAGAAATTCGGTGTTTACCTTAATACAATGACTGGTGTAGGTGAGGCGGCCTCGGTGTTGGAGATGAAGATGGTGGAGGTGGTGCAGATGGTGGTGGTGGTGGTGGTGCCGATGGTGGTGGTGGTGGAGGTAGTGTAGAGGGAGCTCCAATCATCCCCTGCTGCTGCTGCTGTTGCTGCTGCTGCTGCTGCTGCTGCTGCTGCTGCTGCTGCTGCTGGTGATGGTGCTGCTGAAGGCTCTGGAGGTAGGCATGCGTCATGTCTGCGGGCGTGGGGGCGTGGGTGGTGTTATCATGGGGGCTGGCGTTCTGCAGGAGGCGGGCGCTGTGTTCCTGCGCTTTCTGTCGCAGCGCCGCGATGCTGCTGGACCTGCGGAACGAGACCGGTTAGGCACTCCAAGGCTAGGTCCTAGCCAGGTTCTCTTGCTAGGCTAGCGTTAGTGTAGGTTTTCATAGCTCTAGACAAACGAATTAGAGCTACACTGATTTGGATAGCCCGGAATAGTCTTAGATAGTCAATAGTGGACTAGGGTGAGTTTACACAATATAGACAATAGTGATCTAGGATAAGTTTACACAAATGATAATTTTAAGTGACTCTACAGAAACAACACACGAACACAAGTTAAGGAATTAATTAGAGCATAACTCTACCTACTCCATGAACGAGTCTACTCGCATATATCATTACAATCTGTAATCATTTTTCTCAATCAGATGATATCAGTTTCAACAGGACTGATATAAAATGGGATGACAACGCACAGACGAGTCATAGTCTGAAATTAATCATTATAGAATGGAAAGTAATGAATCTAAGATATGTGATCAGTTTACCGTGCAAGCAATGGTAAACTTGATAGAGTTATACTAAGCTTGGGGTATATGTATGGTGTATCCTGGCAGGATGGAGGGTATATTTATATACTGGTTTGGGGGAGAATGAGTATACTGTGTGTGTATACTATGTATACTATGTATACTGTGAGTATACCTAGGATAAGTTTACTCTAGTGTGACGCCAGAGTGAAGGTAGGATGGTTGAGTTGTACTTGCTAGGACAGAACTCAACTCGTCGGCAGGCTATATTCATCGTCATCGTCAATTTTTGACGCATTCGTCAATTTTTGACGCATTCGTCAATTTTTGACGCATTCCTCAATTTTTGACGCATTCGTCAATTTTTGACGCATTCGTCAATTTTTGACGCATTCCTCAATTTTTGACGCATTCGTCAATTTTTGACGCGTTCGTCAATTTTTGACGCGTTCATCAATTTTTGACGCGTTCATCAATTTTTGACGCATTCATCAATTTTTGACGCGTTCATCAATTTTTGACGCATTCATCAATTTTTGACGCATTCATCAATTTTTGACGCGTTCATCAATTTTTGACGCATTCGTCAATTTTTGACGCATTCATCAATTTTGGCACATTCATCAATTTTTGACGCATTCATCAATTTTGACGCATTCATCAATTTTGACGCATTCATCAATTTTTGACGCATTCATCAATTTTGACGCATTCATCAATTTTGAAGCATTCATCAATTTTTGACGCATTCATCAATTTTGACGCATTCATCAATTTTGAAGCATTCATCAATTCAACGGTAAAAAGGGCGCCTGACAGCTGGGTGGACAGCGCTTCGGATTCGTAGTCCTGAGGTTCCGGGTTCGATCCCCGGTGGAGGCGGAGACAAATGGGCAAAATGTTTCTTTCACCCTGATGCCCCCTGTTACCTAGCAGTAAATAGGTACCCGGGAGTTAGACAGCTGCTACGGGCTGCTTCACGAAGCAGTTACGCAAGTACTTACGAACGTGTACATCTTTCCTCAATCTTTGACGGCTTTGGTTACATTTATTAAACAGTCTACAAGCATGAAAACTTGCCAATCAACTGTTGTTATTGTTATAAACAGCCTCCTGGTGCTTCGGAGCTCATTAACTGTTTAATAATTGTAAACAAAGCCGCCAAAGATTGAGAAAAGATGGACAGGTTCGTAAGTGCTTGCGTAACTGCTTCGTGAATCTGGCCCCAGGTTCGTAAGTGCTTGCGTAACTGCTTCGTGAATCTGGCCCCAAGTTCGTAAGTGCTTGTGTAACTGCTTCGTGAATCTGGCCCCAGGTTCGTAAGTGCTTGCGTAACTGTTTCGTGAATCTGGCCCCCAGGTTCGTAAGTGCTTGCGTAACTGTTTCGTGAATCTGGCCCCCAGGTTCGTAAGTGCTTGTGTAACTGCTTCGTGAATCTGGCCCCAGGTTCGTAAGTGCTTGCGTAACTGCTTCGTGAATCTGGCCCCCAGGTTCGTAAGTGCTTGCGTAACTGCTTCGTGAATCTGGCCCCCAGGTTCGTAAGTGCTTGCGTAACTGCTTCGTGAATCTAGCTAATGAACAGTATGTATCAAATAGATCTCACTGTTGATTGACGGGGCAACCGATCCACCAGTAGATCCCTAACCTGTCTTTATAAGACAGGTGAGATTGACGGCATTGCTGGGTTAGCATTTAAGACCACTACAATCATCTTGCAGTTTACGGGTTATTCATGCCCGTGCCACCTCTTTGGGTGGCTTAATCTTCATCAATCAATCAATCAATCAATCTTCCGTACTTAGTAACCATGTATTGTAGCCACCGTCTAACCCTGTCCATAGAGGATAGAGGAAAATGTGTATATGCTAGTCACTATTGTATTAGTCACTATATTGTATTAGTCACTATATTGTATTAATGTATGATCCCATCTGTCGTAGAAAATAAGTAAAAAAATAAAAAATAGCGCGAGGGATTAACAAATGCGTTCGTGGATATCACGCGTTCGTGGATATCACGCGTTCGTGTGATATCACGCGTTCGTGGATATCACGCGTTCGTGTGATATCACGCGTTCGTGGATATCACGCGTTCGTGGATATCACGCGTTCGTGTGATATCACGCGTTCGTGGATATCACGCGTTCGTGTGATATCACGCGTTCGTGGATATCACGCGTTCGTGTGATATCACGTGTTCGTGGATATCACGCGTTCGTGTGATATCACGCGTTCGTGGATATCACGCGTTCGTGGATATCACGCGTTCGTGGATATCACGCGTTCGTGGATATCACGCGTTCGTGTGATATCCACGTGTTGCGGCTTGCAAGGGTTGAAACACCTTTCAATATCAGAGCTGGGGTGATCATTTCGTACAAGTTGTATTAAGTTCATGATGGCACTTAAGTTCTTCTGGAGGGGGGGGGGGGCAAATAGGGTATTCTCACTCCACTGTCTTGACCAATTACCTACAGACCAATTACCTACGGACCAGTTACCTACAGACCAATTACCTACAGACCAATTACCTACAGACCAATTACCTACAGACCAATTACCTACAGACAAATTACCTACAGACCAATTACCTACAGACCAGTTACAGTTTATATCCTGCAATTGTTAATTTCAGGATAATCCAACAATTTATCCCAATCAAGAACTGTAAGAAACTCATCATATCATAAAGAGGGAGATAACGAGACTCGTTATCTTGAGGTTATCTTGACTCATATTAAATGGTGAAAAAAATAGAGCTATTCTTTATTCTTTCATAATAAATCATTGTGTCGGGGGGACAGGCAGCCAGTGTGTATATATATATACGTGTTAGCCTTATATAGAAAACCAGCGGTCGAGTTACTAACTGCAACCCCCACAATAAGCTCACCAACTCCTGATGTTTCATTTTGACTACTAGGTGAACAGATGCATTAGGTGATAGAAAACGCGCGTAACCACCTCTGTCTTGCCCGGGATTCGAACCCGGAATTTCCGACTGGGAGTCGGAAACGAACCCGCCTGACCTAAGAATATATCCCACCCTGCCTCGTGTGGTGTCAGGTGACGAGGCCGGGTCCTGGGGCCCAGGAGCTAGAGCCAAGGTAGGTGTAAGCCTAGGGGCTCGGAGGGGGTGAGATGGAGTGGGCGTGGGGAGGGGTGAAATGGGCGTTAAAAGGGGTGAAATAGGCGTCGAGAGGGGTGAAATAGGCGTCGAGAGGTGAAATGGGCGTCGAGAGGGGTAAAATAGGCGTCGAGAGGGGTGAAATAGGCGTTGAGAGGGGTGAAATGGGCGTCGAGAGGGGTAAAATAGGCGTCGAGAGGGGTGAAATAGGCGTCGAGAGGGGTGAAATGGGCGTCGAGAGGGGTGAAATGGGCGTTGAGAGGGGTGAAATGGGCGTGAGAAGCAGCGAAATGGACGTAGAGAAGATTAAGAAAACATCAACTCAGAATCGTCAGAGTTCACCACAGTGACAATCTGAGACACTCACCTGAAATCCTCCGGCTGAGAGGGATGCTTATCGTCCGGCGACCCGACTTCGCTACCACCTTCGTCCTCGCTCGATTCCACTCCTGCATCTTCCCCTTCGTCGCTGACTCCTCCTCCTCCTCCTCCTCCAGGTCTCAGCGAATCCCCTCCTCCTCCCCCTGCGTCTCCTGCGTGTGGGTTTTGCGTCTCTTCTTGACTCTTTGCGTCGCCGTCTTGGTCCTTCTCACCCTCCTCCACTTTCTGAAGCTGTTGCGCCGCTTCGAGGCTCTTCCGGTGCATCCCTGTGGAGGTCACGAGGTCAGAGGGACGCGGAGAGGGTCAGCGCTCGGGTCAAGAGGTCACATCATTGAGACTATTCAATATGGGACTGAAAAAGTATTTGTTTTAAAACGTCAATTTGAAGGAAGATAATGTTATGTCACAAGAGAAAAGTGGTGTTAAATATTGGTATTTTATATTCATGATGATGTGTTCTAGACCCCTAATCTGCGAAGGACCCCAGGGAGCGACCCCATCGATGGACCCCAGCGAGGGACCCCAGCGAGGATCCCAGCAAGGATCCCAGCGAAGGACTCCAGCAGGATCCCAGCGAAGGACCCCAGCAAGGGACGCCAGCGAGGGACCCCAGCAAGGATCCCAGCAAGGATCCCAGCGAAGGACCCCAGCAAGGGACCCCAGCAAGAGGACCCCAGCTAGGGGTCACCAGCTTGGGGTCACCAGTTACCACAGAGGCGCCCCACCGTCACCCCGACACCACCACCCTCGTCACCTGGCCAAGTTTGACCCCAGCTTCTTGACCCTTGACCCCACTTTTCAGTCAATGACACCCCAGAGACCCCCCTTTAACCCCTCCCCCCCCCCCTGACCCTTACGTTAAAGCCCAGCTGATCCATTTACTAGATCAAGAGCAATTAGAATTAAAATTAAATTAGTTTCAACTTCAAATCTAATGACTGAACTACAGCATTCTAAATCAAATTGACATTTTAGGCTTATAAAACGTGGCCAGGATTAACGAGAGCCCGACTGTGAACTCCTCACCACGATCACCAGTCATCAAGCGAAACATCTTACGAAACCGGTACATCTTTCCTCCTATTTCTCCTATTTATTAAAGCGTTTACGAGCTTGGAAATGCTGCGAGATCATTCTGAACGACTAACGTTGCCGTAGACTATCTCATATATAGCGCTTCGGTGCTCAGAGGGATGTACAGGTTTCGTAGGCGTAGATGGATGGTGTATTCTGACCCCCTGACGCCATGATCGGTCAATACAACACCTTGTCAAGTTGTAGGAATTGAATTACATTTGATCACAACTTTCCAGTTCTTGACAGGTTTGGAAATCTCCAATTGACATTCCGCCACCAATATGACCCCTAATGACCTCGATTTTTCCCTCTTTTCCTAACGACTCAGCGCCGAGGGGAACAAGGCTGTTCGAGGAGGAGGTGGTGCCGGAAGTGACGGGGATCGAGCGCCGTCGTGGACTCACCTGGCGGACTCTGACCCATACCTAGGAGCCAGGGGGCGGGGCACTCATCTCCGGATTCGACAGACTTGACGATGGCTTCCGGGAGAGGAAGAGAGTGCCGGACCATGGCACCGTAGAGGCCATACTCCGCCATGATGGTACTCTTGCCCCAAGTCTTCTCCGTCTTGCGCCACTTGGCCCGTCGGTTCTGGAACCATACCTGTTGGCACGGCACGAGGGGTGATTAGTGCATCCTGGAGGGTATCAACTGACTCCTGGAGGGTATCAACTGACTCCTTGAGGGTATCAACTGACTCCTGGAGGGTATCAACTGACTCCTGGAGGGTATCAACTGACTCCTGGAGGGTATCAACTGACTCCTGGAGGGTATCAACTGACTCCTGGAGGGTATCAACTGACTCCTGGAGGGTATCAACTGACTCAAAGATGCCAGCATCTGCAGGCGAGGAGTCACAATAACGTGGCTGAAGTATGTTGACCAGACCACACACTAGAAGGTGAAGGGACGACGACGGTTCGGTTCGTCCTGGACCATTCTCAAGTCGATTGTGAGGACAATCGACTTGAGTCCTCACAATCGACTTGAGAATGGTCCAGGACGGGCCGAAACGTCGTCGTCCCTTCATCTTCTAGTGTGTGGCCTGGTCAAACATGCCGGCATCTCCATTATCTCAGGTGTGAGGATAATTCTCTCAGCATCTTTAAATCTTTAAGGGAACTAACTATCCAGGATAAAATGACAAGCCATTGCGACTATATAGCACTGGGAAGGGGTGAGGATAAGGATTTGGGATGGGGACGGGGGGGGGAAGGAATAGTGGCCCAATTACTTGGACGGTCGGGGATTGAACGCCGACCTGCATGAAGCGAGACCGTCGCTCTACCGTCCAGGCCAAGTGGTTGGGTGTGTATGTGGGAAAAAAAGAAGTAGTAACAGTTGATTGATTGACAGTTGAGACGCGGGCCTAAAGAGCAGAGCTCAACCCCCCCGCAAGCACAACTAGGTGAATACACACACACACACACACACACACACACACACACACACACACACACACACACACACACACACACACACATACTTAAAAAAAATACAATTCAAAAAGTACAAATACGCAAAAGTTCCCTATAAAAATTTAAAATTTAAGCACCATAAATACAATTTTGCACCACCAGACAGTTAAGGGTCCAAGAGCTGCAGCTCAACCACCCGACAGTTTAAAGAGAATAGCCAGCTTAGGCGAGGCCATCAGCCAATCAACGACGAGACCAGGTTAATGACCAAACAAATCGAATTTTCTGATTGGTTCAAATCGTCCCTGGTAATTTCAGCCTCAGTGGGAGAGAGGTGAGGGGGGGGGGACGAACTTTACCTACCTGTCTGTCTGTCTGTCTGTCTGTCTGTCTGCCTGTCTGTCTGTCTGCCTATCTGTCTGTCTGTCTGTCTGCCTGCCTGTCTGTCTGTCTGTCTGTCTGTCTGTCTGTCTGTCTGTCTGTCTGTCTGCCTGTCTGTCTGTCTGTCTGTCTGTCTGTCTGTCTGTCTGTCTGTCTGTCTGTCTGCCTGTCTGTCTGTCTGTCTGTCTGTCTGTCTGTCTGTCTATCTGCCTGTCTGCCTGTCTGTCTGTCTGTCTGCCTGTCTGTCTGTCTGCCTGTCTGTCTGTCTGTCTGTCTCAGACGGTAGGATTTATTATGTCTGTTTGCCAGCCAGATTTTGTGTCAATGTACAGTGATTCTGATCTATCTTTCTATCTATCTATTTATCTATCTATCTATCGAGAGGAGTGTGGAAACCTTGTTCAATCTCTACACTTGTCTGTTAATTGTCTTCACAGCTTCTAGTCAAAGTCTGCACTATCTCCATCTTTATCTACCTCCTATTTATTCCCCCTCTTCCTCCTCCTGCTCCAACCACTGAGACAAAGAATGAGACACAGAGAGAGAGACGAGGGAAGTACACGAGGTACTCAGGAGTAAGGGGGAGGGGGTGAGGGGAAATAGAGAGAGTACACGAGTACTCAGGAGAAAGGGGGAAGAGGGTGAGGGGAAATAGAGAGAGTACACGAGTACTCAGGAGAAAGGGGGAAGAGGGTGAGGGGAAATAGAGAGAGTACACGAGTACTCAGGAGAAAGGGGGAAGAAGGTGAGGGGAAATAGAGAGAGTACACGAGTACTCAGGAGAAAGAGGGAAGAGGGTGAGGGGAAATAGAGAGAGAGATATCTCCCCCCCCTTTTTCTCTCACATGAAGATGTAAGACAGTTATTGTCAGGACAATGGGTAATGGTCTGTGAGGAAGTGAATGAGATTCCTGTGAGTGGTAGACAGTTTCGACCCCACTCATTTCACCCCCTCTTCCTCGATTCCTCCCCCTCTCCCCCCAACTCCTCATGCAGCATCTTCACAGCGCCTGGGAACAAGCAGGGAACGGTTGTGTTGTTAAGGTTGAAGGGCCTACGGAGCAATGACTCTAACTAAACTACTGTTTTGAGTCGTAGGATATTGTCGGAGTTTTCGTTCTATCTGCAATTGAGATTGTGGGTGGAGCGTGGCTCTTGCTACTTCCTCTCTCTGTTATAACGGCGTGTCAGGAAGGTGGACAGTCTGCCTGCTATCATAACATCGTGTCAGCAAGGTGGACAGCCTGCCTGCTATCATAACATCGTGTCAGCAAGGCGGACAGCCTGCCTGCTATCACAACACCGTGTCAACAAGGCGGACAGCCCGCCTGCTATCATAACATCGTGTCAGCAAGGCGGACAGCCCGCCTGCTATCATAACATCGTGTCAACAAGGCGGACAGCCCGCCTGCTATCATAACATTGTGTCAGCAAGGCGGACAGCCCGCCTGCTATCAGAACACCGTGACAGCAAGGCGGACAGCCCGCTTGCTATCATAACATCGTGTCAGCAAGGCGGACAGCCCGCCTGCTATCATAACACCGTATCAGCAAGGCGGACAGCCCGCCTGCTATCATAACACCGTATCAGCAAGGCGGACAGCCCGCCTGCTATCACAACACCGTATCAGCAAGGCGCCCAGCCCGCCTGCTATCATAACATCGTGTCAGCAAGGCGGACAGCCCGCCTGCTATCACAACACCGTGTCAGCAAGGCGGACAGCCCCGCCTGCTATCACAACACCGTGTCAACAAGGCGGACAGCCCCGCCTGCTATCAGAACATCGTGTCAACAAGGCGGACAGCCCGCCTGCTATCACAACACCGTGTCAGCAAGGCGGACAGCCCGCCTGCTATCACAACACCGTGACAGCAAGGCGGACAGCCCGCCTGCTATCACAACACCGTGTCAGCAAGGCGGACAGCCCGCCTGCTATCACAACACCGTGTCAGCAAGGCGGACAGCCCGCCTGCTATCACAACACCGTGTCAACAAGGCGGACAGCCCGCCTGCTATCACAACACCGTGTCAACAAGGCGGACAGCCCGCCTGCTATCACAACACCGTGTCAGCAAGGCGGACAGCCCCGCCTGCTATCATAAAACTGTGTTCCACACTTCAACAGGTTCTCCTCCGCCTGTTCTCCTCCGCCTGTTCTCCTCCGCCTGTTCTTCTCTGTCATCATTATTCTCATTCAAATAAAATAAAAATTGTATATACAAAAAACGTGAACGGATGTTCTACCGTGTGTTAAGTAGGATGTTTGTAGTGTTTAGGCTGGCACCGCCCCTTCCATCCTTTCCCACTCTCTCTCTCCCATTACCCCTCCCATCTCTCTCTCTCTCTACCTCTCCCTTCCTCACTATACCCTCCCCATCTCTTTCCCTCTGACTTCCTCACTACTCTCCTATCCTTCCTCATCTCTCTCTCTCTCTCTCCCCTTCCATCCTTTCCCACTCTCTCTCTCCCATTACCCCATTAAAGGGGCCTCGTAGCCTGGTGGATAGCGCGCAGGACTCGTAATTCTGTGGCGCGGGTTCGATTCCCGCACGAGGCAGAAACAAATGGGCAAAGTTTCTTTCACCCTAAATGCCCCTGTTACCTAGCAGTAAATAGGTACCTGGGAGTTAGTCAGCTGTCACGGGCTGCTTCCTGGGGGTGGAGGCCTGGTCGAGGACCGGGCCGCGGGGACACTAAAGCCCCGAAATCATCTCAAGATAACCTCAAGATTACCCCTCCCATCTCTCTCTCTCTACCTCTCCCTTCCTCACTACCCTCCCCATCTCTTTCCCTCTGACTTCCTCACTACTCTCCTATCCTTCCTCATCTCTCTCTCTCTCTCTCCCCTTCCATCTCCTTCACTCCCTCTCTTTTCCTTTTACTCTCCCGTCATCTCGCTGTTCCATTCTCTTTTCCTCTGTCTCTTCCTCTCGCCTTCACTCACTCTCTCCCATTCGCCTTTCCTTTCTCACTCTCTTTTCCATTCCTTGTTGTCTGTCCTCTTTCCATCCCTCTTTTTTTCTATCCATTCCTCTCTCCCGTCTCTTTCCCGTCTCCCTCTCTACTGTTAGCATCGAATGGAACAGAGCTGAGAGCCCTGCATGCCTTTGCGCATACACACGCGCACAAGCACGCAAGCACACGCACAAACGCTCACGCAAACACGTGTACACACGCGTTCATAAACGCATATATACGTGCGTCTGTACACCAGTTGATAGACAGTTGAGAGGCGGGACCAAAGAGCCAGAACTCAACCCCCGCTAGCAGAAATAGGTGAGTACAAACAGGTGAGTACACACACACACACACACACACACACACACACACACACACACACACACACACACACACACACACAAACACACACACACACACACACACACACACACACACACACACACACACACACACACACACACACACACACACACACACACACACACACACACACACACACACACACACACACACACACACACACACACACACACACACACACACACACACACACACACACACACACACACACACACACACACACACACACACACACACACACACACACACACACCACACACACACACACACACACACACACACACACACACACACACACACACACACACACACACACACACACACACACACACACACACACACACACACACACACACACACACACACACACACACACACACACACACACACACACACACACACACACACACACACACACACACACACACACACACACACACACACACACACACACACACACACACCACACACACACACACACACACACACACACACACACACACACACACACACACACACACACACACACACACACACACACACACACACACACACACACACACACACACACACTCACACACACACACACACACATACAAAAGCATTTCTAAATGGTTACTCATGAGGGAGAGATAAGTGAAAATAGAAAGAACAAAAGAGGAATAAGAGAAGAGGAGCTAAGATAAGAGGAAGGAACAAGTTGTTTTTGTCGAAAGAGGAGAGAGAGAGAGAGAGAGAGAGAGAGAGAGAGAGAGAGAGAGAGAGAGAGAGAGAGAGAGAGAGAGAGAGAGAGAGAGAGAGAGAGAGTAGCATAATAGTTTAACTCCCAAAAGTGATCTACATCTCAGGATAATCGCCAGCTTATTCAAAGCTTTCATCCCTCTTTCTTACTCCTTCTCTATTTCTTCCACCCTCTTCCTCCATCTCTTCCACACCTCCCCTCACTTTTCCATTCCCTCTCCCTGTCACTTTTCCCTCCCTCCCTCCCTCTCTCTCTCTCTCTCTCTCTCTCTCTCTCTCTCTCTCTCTCTCTCTCTCTCTCTCTCTCTCTCTCTCTCTCTCTCTCTCTCTCTCTCTCTCTCTCAGATATGACACCTGCAAATCCTCTCTCTCACTGGCTCATCTGAACATCTATGCTGTCCTCTCTCTCTCTCTCTCCTCTCTCTCTCTCTCTCTCTCTCTCTCTCCTCTCTCTCGATCTCTCTCTCTCTCTCTCTCTCTCTCTCTCTCTCTCTCTCTCTCTCTCTCTCTCTCTCTCTCTCTCACTTCTCTCACCCCGTCTCTCACTTGCTACCCTCTGAGAGCCTTCAGGTCCTAACCACTAATCAATCACCCTTACTGCCCAGCGCTGGCCACAGAACACGCTCCTATCCCATCCCGGCGGCTCAGCATTGTTAGGTAGGGACACATAGTATAGAGGAACAGGAGGGGGAAGGAAAAAGGAGGAACAGGAGAATGTAGAAGTAATGAACAGCATGAAGAGTATAATTACCAGTTATACAGAGGTTCAAAAGACTTGATAACAGCAATAGGGAAAATAATATTGATAATTTTAAAAGAATCTTAGAATATGTTTTCTATCCCTTCTCCCCTTTCCCCCCATCTCCCCCAATTGTTCCCCATCCCCTCCTCCCCCCCCTTTAACAGTGTCCAGCCCATCATTGAAACAAATGAGCATCGGGTGGACGATATATTAAGCTAATACAATCGCGTTATCACGGGTAGTGGTCATGTATTTTTTTTCTCTTTAGTCACCCCTGGTGAAGTAGTCGAGAAAATCCCGTTTTTTTGTTATTTCCCCGAATCACAAATCCGTCGCTGAATCCGCCCCGTCGAATCCGCCCTGTCGAATCTACCCGTCTACTAGAATAGCACATCGCATTTTTGACGTATTAAACCCCCCCCCCCCAAGGCTTCTAAAACGTATTACGAATTCATAGCTACTGGCTACATTGACGTGATGTTCCGTTTTCTATGTGTGGCTCCTCTGGTAGGTTAGGTTCGGGTCAAATTGGTACATCAGTTTAGTGACGTTGGGAACACTCGAGAAATGGGGCTGTAATAGGTGTAATAGGGTGTAATAGGGTGCATGGAGCTATATCAGTAATATAATGATATACTTGGGTATACGACAGTGTGATTTTGGGGTATGTTTAGCCAATTAGGGACTCCTGATTACTGATTCTGAACCTCAGGGACTCCTGATTACTGATTCTGAACCTCAGAGACTCCTGATTACTGATTCTGAACCTCAGAGACTCCTGATTACTGATTCTGAACCTCAGAGACTCCTGATTACTGATTCTGAACCTCAGAGACTCCTGAGAACTGATTCTGAACCTCAGAGACTCCTGAGAACTGATTCTGAACCTCAGAGACTCCTGAGAACTGATTCTGAACCTCAGAGACTCCTGAGAACTGATTCTGAACCTCAGAGACTCCTGATAACTGATTCTGAGCCTCAGAGACTCCTGAGAACTGATTCTGAACCTCAGAGACTCCTGATAACTGATTCTGAGCCTCAGAGACTCCTGAGAACTGATTCTGAACCTCAGAGACTTCTGATAACTGATTCTGAACCTCAGAGACTCCTGATAACTGATTCTGAACCTCAGAGACGCCTGATAACTGATTCTGAACCTCAGAGACTCCCGATAACTGATTCTGAACCTCAGAGACTCCTGATAACTGATTCTGAACCTCAGAGACTCCTGATAACTGATTCTGAACCTCAGAGACTTCTGATAACTGATTCTGAACCTCAGAGACTCCTGATAACTGATTCTGAACCTCAGAGACTCCTGATAACTGATTCTGAACCTCAGAGACCCCTGATAACTGATTCTGAACCTCAGAGACTCCTGATAACTGATTCTGAACCTCAGAGACTCCTGATAACTGATTCTGAACCTCAGAGACTCCTGATAACTGATTCTGAACCTCAGAGACTTCTGATAACTGATTCTGAACCTCAGAGACTCCTGATAACTGATTCTGAACCTCAGAGACGCCTGATAACTGATTCTGAACCTCAGAGACTCCTGATAACTGATTCTGAACCTCAGAGACGCCTGATAACTGATTCTGAACCTCAGAGACGCCTGATAACTGATTCTGAACCCCAAGGAAGTGACTTTTTACTATTATTTGATAAATTAACTTCAGCACCAAATTAACAAAAGTTAATCCATTATATAACCCACAAATCTATTATAAAAGGTCCAGGGAAGCGTAGAGGTGTTATATAAGCACATAGAGAACACTGGAAGAACATCAGAGTTCCAATGTTCTTCACCCTCCTCCTTGGAACAAATGTTTACGTGTTCAAGAAGCAATTCAACCCGCCAAACACACACCGAAACTACGACGTTGCTACAACGTTCGAACAAGTTTTAACACCACCTAACCAGTTATAACAACCAATATAGCCAGTTGTAACAACGTTCTAATACGTCATAAACACGTTAAGCCAAGATGTAACAACTTTATTACAAGTGGTAACAAGCGGAAAATAGAGACAATTTCGGTTTGTGTTTCCAGGGTTAAGTTGTTTCTCTTACAGGACGTGTAAGACAAACCGGGCTGTAGAGGGTCTGCAGGACGCCAGAAGCAACAGTTTTCTAAGTCAATGTAGCACAAAAAAAGCCTATATCAGGTATGAGCCAGTAATGTATCTTAGATATACTACAGGTGTACCTTCAGGAAAATCAATCACCCTTTCCTCCCCTGATATGTCATAGGTATTCTCCAGGTAGACTCTAGGTAAATATATTCCAGGTATACCTTAGGTATATATATTCCAGGTATACTTCAGGTATACCTCAGGTATAAGACGTCAAGGAGTGACAATGTTTAATGATTACGCCTGCTCGTTCGATCATTTCTTACCAATCACCACTACCCCCCTTCACCTATTCCTTACCCATCACCACTACCCCCCCCTCCCACCATTCCTTACCCATCACCACTACCCCCCCCCCCCCCTATTCCTTACCCATCACCACTACCCCCCCTCCCACCATTCCTTACCCATCACCACTACCCCCCCCTCCCACCATTCCTTACCCATCACCACTACCCCCCCTCCCCCTATTCCTTACCCATCACCACTACCCCCCTCCCACCATTCCTTACCCATCACCACTACCCCCCCTCCCCCTATTCCTTACCCATCACCACTACCCCCCTCCCACCATTCCTTACCCACCTTACCCTTCCACTATAGCCGTTACCTACCGGCATTTCCCCCCCCTTCCCCCCCCTTCCACCATTCCTTACCCACTAGACCTCCTTACCTACCCCCATTCCCCCATTCCTCCCCAATCGCTTCAACCTCTCCCCCCCCCCTTCCCCTAAACTCAATTTACCGTACAGGAGGCGGTGGGTTTTAACGACTTCGTTCCTCTAATTCGTAATAAAGCCGACTCCGCGGCGCCATTGGACTTCATAACCCACGGCCTCGAACGACGACCCTCCCTTCCACCCCCTCCCCCACGTAATGAAAACTGGCTACGGACTCGGGAAGTTGGGTCATTCGCCGCCCATTCCAGGTCATTCCAGGCCGTTCCTTGCATTCCCGGTGTGGGAGGGGGAAGGGAGGGGGAAGGGAAGGGGCATGACTAATGACCAATACAGCCATTATGAGCGGGTTGGGGGATTGGGTAGTGAGAGAGGGGGATGGAGAGAGATAGAGGAGGGAGAGGTAATGGGGAAAGGTGGTATACAGGATGAGGGGGGGAGGGGGAGATGGAACAGGAGAGGTTGAAGGAGGGGGGGGGGGGGTATGGGATAGATGGGTTGTGAACATCCATCTACCCTTTGATGGTTGATTATAGTCTATCCTGAGGGGGATGTTTTCCATCCCATCTCTCCCCACGCCACCCTCCCATTCCATCTTTCACATCTCATCTCTCCCTCACATCAGCCTCATATCCCATCCCCCACCTTTTCTACCCATTCCTCATCCCAAGCCATTTTTTCACTCCAACTTTCACAAAAGATGAAAAAATAAAAGTTTTGCATATTTAATCAACCTCGTCTCCCCCCCCCTGTCCCTCTCTATCCTGTCCCTCCCTATCCCTTACTCTCTCCCATCGTTCCATCTATCCCTACCTCCCTACCCATCTCTTCCTATATGATAATTTTCCCCCAAAGAGGACGGTTATGTGACATAATGAAATATAGTGACAACTCCTGTGCTTTTTATCCAGTCAAATACACCCAGACGCGGCTGGGTTACCTGGAATATACCTGAACAGGGTTTCGCGGGTACTTCTACTACTCCGCCTCGAGCCCGGCCCAACTGAAGGGGGATATCTTCAGTTGGGTTAAGGTCCTACGGTTCAGCGGGCTAGGAACACGATTCGTAATCAAGGGGATACTAGGATAGGTCTTCGGGCTAGAGAGAAATGGTTGGAAACGTTGTTTTTTTGCTTTCATCTGGTGTCTATGTTCACCTAGCATTCAAACAAGTGTCCAGGAGTTAGTTAACTGTTGTGGGTGGCGTTCTAGGGAAGAGGGGAGTAGTTTGGGGGAGAAAAGGGGGGGGGGTTAGGGGGTTCTAGCTAGGGTTCTGTTTCTAGAATCTAGATGAGGGGTCCGGTTATGGAGCCTAGCTGAGACTCTGTTTCTTAACCTAGCAGAGGCTAGGTCCTAGGACCCATCTTGTCCGTTCCTTATCTCCCCTTTTTCCCTTTTTTCTTTCTCCTTTTTCCCCTCTTCACCCCTCAGTTCCCCCCTGAAAACCATCCATCAAGTGTGTGAGGTTGTCTCTCTCACCAGCCTAGCGCCGTGAGGGAGGAAATGAGGCGAAAAGCACCTCATATTTCCCGCCTGAGACTTACAACTTAACTCCCTCTCACTCTCCTTCCCTCTCACTATCCTGTGGCTCTCATCTTGCCTCTCACTCATCACTTTCAACCCCCATAACCCCCTCTCACACCTCCCCCCCTCATATTATGGAAGAGGGGGAGGCATCAGCCACCAGGAGGATTGTGAGGAATCAGGTCCTCATAATTCAATAACACACAGGAGGATCACTAAGATCTACCCATTAACACCTCATAATATGGGTACATTTACACTAGCATGGGGTAAAATACGGGTTATATACCACGGGTGGGAGGGGGAGGGGGTTTAAAGATAGCAGAGGTGGGATTCTTCAAGATATCATGGGGGTAAATGTTGCCTAAACGTTAACTTAGACGCTAATGTATCTGATATCTAACGTTGTTATGTGATAACCTAACCTGGTCTATTCTTAATTTCAACCTAATGCATCTCTTATCTAGCATGACCCCTTAAATCTAATGAGACTTAACTCTTTTAAATCTAATCCCAACTTAATTCATCCTGACATAATCTAATCAAGCCTAACCTAACTTAACCTATTCTAACTTAACGTAACCTAACTTAACCTAATCTAACCTAACTTAACCTAACCTAACCTGACTTAACCTAACCTAATCTAAGTCAACCTACCCTAATCTATCCTAACTTAACCTAACGTAATCTACACTAACTTAACCTAATCTAACCTAACTTAACCTAACCTAATCTTACCTAACCTAATGTAATCTACCCTAACTTAACCTAATCTAACCTAACTTAACCTAACCTAATCTTACCTAACCTAACCTAACGTAATCTACCCTAACTTAACCTAATCTAACCTAACTTAACCTAACCTAATCTAACCTAACCTAATCTACCCTAACTTAACCTAATCTACCCTAACTTAACCTAACCTAATCTAACCTAACCTAACCTAATCTACCCTAACTTAACCTAATCTACCCTAACTTAACCTAACCTAACCTAACTTAACCTAACTTAACTTAGCCGAGCCAAATATGATCCAATTCAGACCCCGAGCGAAAACATTCTCTCATTTTTCTTCCCAGTTCACATCCTTTCTGTTCTTTACACTTCGTTCAGATCGCCATCGTATATATAAAAAAGAAAACGGGATTTTTTCTTTCCCGTTAAATTGCATCTTTTTTCCCGGGAAAATAGTGGTCACGTGATTCTCCCCCCCCCCCCTGGCCCGCCGTCAGGCCTAATTCACATCCGTCGGGCCCTGTATGGAGCGTAATTTCTATCAGCCGGGCCCTGTATGGAGCGTAATTCCTATCCGTCGGGCCCTGCATGGAGCGTAATGCTTATCCGCGGGGCCCTGCATGGAGCGTAATTCCTATCTGCCGGGCCATGCATGGAGCGTAATTCCTATCCGTCGGGCCATGCATGGAGCGTAATTCCTATCCGTCGGGCCATGCATGGAGCGTAATTCCTATCCGTCGGGCCATGCATGGAGCGTAATTCCTATCCGTCGGGCCATGCATGGAGCGTAATTCCTATCCGTCGGGCCATGCATGGAGCGTAATTCCTATCCGTCGGGCCATGCATGGAGCGTAATTCCTATCCACCGGGCCATATAGAGAGCATAATTCTCAGTTCTCAGGCCCTTCAGGGAGCATAATTCACATCCTTCTGTTGAAATTGGAAAAAGTCCAACAAATATAAATTGGAAATTGAAAAATGTCTTTAAAGCACCTATAAATGACAAGCAACTATAATGGCCCGATATATATATATATATATATATATATATATATATATATATATATATATATATATATATATATATGTCGTACCTAGTAGCCAGAACGCACTTCTCAGCCTACTATGCATGGCCCGATTTGCCTAATAAGCCAAGTTTTCCAGAATTAATATATTTTCTCTAAATTTTTTCTTATGAAATGATAAAGCTACCCATTTCATTATGTATGAGGTCAATTTGTTTTCATTGGAGTTAAAATTAACGTAGATATATGACCGAACCTAACCAACCCTACCTAACCTAACCTAACCTATCTCTATAGGTTAGGTTGGGTTATGTAGCCGAAAAAGTTAGGTTAGGTTAGGTTAGGTAGGTTCGGTAGTCGAAAAACAATTAATTCATGAAAACTTGGCTTATTAGGCAAATCGGGCCTTGCATAGTAGGCTGAGAAGTGAGTTCTGGCTACTAGGTACGACATATATATATATAACTGAAAACTCACACCCCAGAAGTGACTCGAACCCATACTCCCAGAAGCAACGCATCTGGTATGTACAAGACGCCTTAATCCACTTGACCATCACGACCGGACAAAATGAGGTGATAGCCGAGGCTATT